ACGCAGAATTTTTCTCTCAAAAACTGTACGGTCTTGTAAAGTATTTTGCCTGAGCAGTCCAGTTCTGCGTCTCTTATGATCTTCTCTACCATCAGATTAAATAAATCACATGAAAAGGAGTCACCTTGTCTGAAACCTCGTTTGGTATCAAACGGCTCGGAAAGGTCGTTCCCAATTCTGACGGAGTTGGTGGTATTGCTCTACGCTATTTTAAACAGCCGTATTAGTTTCGCAGGGATACCAACTTCCCTTCGTGCTGTCGAAAGCGGCTTTGAAATCGACAAATAGATGGTGTGTGTCGATCCTATTCTCGCATGTCTTTTTCCAGATTTGGCGTATTGTAAATACCTGGTCTAAGGTGGATTTGCCAGGTCTAACGCTACACTGATAAGGTCCAATCAGTTCGTTGACGGTGGGCTTCAGACCTTATAACCTACGCTTAGAAGGTTGATCTCGCGGTAGTTGGCACATATGGCGGGATCGCCTTTCTTGTGGTTTGGGAAGAGCACACTTAAATTCCTGTCGTCGGGCAGGCATTCATCTGACCACATTCTATATAAGAGTTGATGTGTGCACCTTATCAAATCCTTTGAGGTTTTTCAAGCGCGCTATTGCTATTCTTACCTCGCCATAGTCAGGTGGTGGGACATCGACTCCGTCATCATCGACTGGGGGCTCAGGCTGCTACCATTCAGTAGGGTGGAAGAGGGGTCTTCCCATAATTTAAATACGTTCTTGACATCGCTCACTAAGTCGCCATTATTGTGTTCGCCCTGGTCTTGAAACCTTCCGTAAGTCTCCAAACTCTCTGATAAAATTTTCGGGTCAGCATCTCAATCTCTTCGCACTCATACAATTCGGCCTCTCTCTTCTTATTGCGACTAATACGTCCCGCTTGCTTCTTTTGTTCCTCATAACGTTCCCATATGGCACGCGTTGCGCCCGATCACGGCGAGGCCTTGTAAGCGGCATCTTTTTTCTCTGCATCTTCTTTACACTCCATCGTGGTCCCCTCAGGCTCGCTGAAATCCGACTACTTCTCTGGCGGCGGTACTTAATAATCGGGAAATGTGATTCCACTACTCGCGTATATCGAGAGTTGAGTGGCGAATAAATTGGCGGGCAGTAGAGATTGCAGTTAAACTTTCCTTTATAGCGGTTGATTATCCAGTAATTTTTTAGATGAATGTACATACATATATCGGGCACTAACCGCCAAAAAGAAGTAAGCGATATTTTTTTCAAAACTGTTTGATGCAGAAATGCATATAGATACTCTAGAAGTATTTCTGCGTCAAAAATGAAATTTCGAAAAAATATCGCTTACAACTTTTTTGGCGGCTAGGGGCCGATATGTAATACATATCTCTTGAGGTAAGGACATTATTTATGCTATTTTATATAATCAACACATAGACTTTGTTTGTTAATACGTATGATTAAATATAAAAATTGCAGACATTTTCCATTTTTAAGCCCACAGAAGTTTTGGTCAAGACTGTATATCCAGGCCTCTTTCTAAGAACCCATATGGACGAGCAATTGCGCTACATTCCTTCATTTATGTGTACATTTGAATGTATGTACATATTAGAGGTATACGCCGCCGAGCCACGCCGCCGCCGCCGCCGTTTTTTG